CAATTCATCATTTAATCGAACTAACTTCTACATTCCTCTCAACTCACAGCTCAATGATGTGGATAAAAAAAGAAAAAATTCTATGATTTACTTTTGGACGCGATAATTTTAGGTCACCCACGACAAAGGTGCATTTTCTTGGGGCATTCACAATTGGAGCCTTTGGCTAACCAAATTCGGGGTGGCTTGTGAAAACGTACTCCAATGAGAGCCAGTGTCCTGCCGATCAGATCATCCACCTTTTTGGGGGTCATACATCCAACCTACCTAAATCTCTTCGATATCCAGGTAAGTTACAAGGTTTTCTGGATAGTTTGACCAGCAGCGTAGCCATGTTCGGTATGCGTCTTGCACCTTCAAAGTGTAAAGTGTTCCTACAAGAAGGGGTTGGTCCAACCCCCAACCTCACACCGACTGGGTAAGTAGTAGAGTAAGTAGACAAATTTTGCTATCTGGCCAGCTATATCTCACTCGGCGGACGCATCACAGATGAAGTGCCGGCGCGCATAGAAAAGGCTCGATTGTCATTTATCAAATTGAGACATCTGGTGCAGGTAGCGGCTGGAAAAAGATCAAGGGCGGTCAAACAACGACCTAGCATGNAAAACCCTAACCAGGAGACTTGGTCATATAGGTTCCGTTAGGCTCGCTGGCTGAAGACCCCGAGATTATGGTCACCGATGGCTAGAGACACTGAGCGATAAGACTGGGTGTCGCAAACAGTAGCGCTCATACATATACTCATTATTCTTGTAACATCAATCTACATAAATTCGCCAATCTTCCGCTTGAGTTTGCCCTCAACATTCTAATCTTCACTCTGCTGTTTTATCCAAATGGACAACCAAAAGACAGTAACCAAAACCGGCGCACGAAAGTGCATGGTTAATGGTTATAAGAATTGAAATGAACTGAATTCACTTCGATGACTCATCGAGCCAGTGACAACTGCCATAACCAAGGTGTGTGGCTTGAGCACCCGTTCCTGGTTGTTTTAGAATCAGGGATTTTAGCTAAATCCCCTAGATGAACTGCAAGTTGGTTCACCGAACTAATTCAACAATGGCAGTGTCACACGATAAATCAGCTTTTCTTCGGTTCCAATGGAAAGGCTTGCTTTAGTTTTCTTTGGTTTGACCAGGTATCCGCAAAAAGAACCACCAGAGAGGTAATGCTATCCCGGTCGTTAGTCTCACAATTACATACCTCTTTGACACGATATTTGGAATCACAAAATATTAGAACTAATTCCTAATGATTAGAGGTGTACAACTTGATACACATATGAATAAATGAATGTATGAATAGAAACCATACGATAACTAAAGCCAAAGCCATTGTTGCGTTTGATAAATACAAGCGAGTTGGTATTATAATTAAAATGACCATTTGACACACTGCCCGTTAGATACACTCCTGGGTGTCTTCGAAATAAAGCTGATGTGATATGTGCTGGATATGGGTGTTATAATTCTACAAGGCGATGCCCGGTCGAGGATAGTTGTTAGTCGAGGATTACACAAATGGGACGTCACTAATTTGGCATGCATATCACAGAAATATCATCGGGAACATACCATCAGAGTTCCAGGCCGCACAACGGATAGTGAATGTAGCAATCGATAGTTATTCTTTGACATCCAGAAATTTGCCCTCGGTGATTTTGTTATTTTTATCGTAGAAATATATCACCAGCTATGTTAAGTACTACTCACAAATGTGAGTACTGCCGCACAACATGGGTACTAGGCTGAGATTCGACTGATATGCCTAATAGCTATTGCTGTGGTCATCGATTCTAAAATCGTCGGAAAGAAGTAAACTCAAAGACAGTTGTTTTACAAACATATAAAGGAACTTGTAGTGTACAAAGCAAACAGAAATTGTAACGGGAAATCCTAGTCTCACCGTGAGTCTGTTTTACCCATTTCGGTTGTCTCCAGTGGTCTACACACCCCTTGATCTTGATGAAAAAAGACAGAGATCGTTGCAGGAAAAACACGAACACGTTACACGCTCAGCGACTGTCCCTCACAATATACAATGTTATCTTTCCCCCTTACCTCCATTGTCCGACCATCCATTACCATTGCATCCAGAGTTGTATGCCCATCCTCGTCTGGGCAACAGCCATAGCCAACTGTTTTGACCGTGCGATCTTCTTCAGCTGCTGTGCATCCAGCAACCACGGCATTGAGGGCTGTTGGTTCTGCATAAACACCTTCATTGTGTGAATGACCTGTCAGGATATGCCAGGCGGCGTCAGTGGCGGAAGTAATAGGCCACGTATTGACAACCACGATAGGAATGTTGGCCATCAGTCAACATGTACACCTGAAAATGTTGGGATCCATTTGAAGTTCATAAACAAAGCAGTGTATGAAAATCACAGTGAACTATCCAAAGACATCGACTGATGGTAAGAAACGATAGTATCGCGAGTGTAGCTCTTTACCTTTACCACGTAATTATTGCTACTAATTCTTGAAAATTACTTAATTTATACTGCTCGTATTCCGATTGTTTTCGCAATTCAAACTAAACTGTTGAGAAACGAAACAAGAAAAAGGGATCTATAGAGAAAAATTAGTGGTTTTCGGAACCAATTCGGAAAAAGCACTACAAATCAGCACACACAAACATGCACAAAGTTATTGACAAGGCAAACGACAGACAAAGAAGAGAGAAAGTACTAACCTGGGAATGGGAACACTGATAAAAATGTTTTCAATTTCAAGGTTGCTTTGATTTAAAGGATGAGTATCTAAGCATTTGCAGTTACAGTACTCCATATGATCTACTGTGAATGTTAGTAGCTTTGTATGTATCAATGTTCAATCTGAGCACAGTTCTCATTTTCAACAGATGTAATTTCAGAGATTTTTAGTGGGGATATCAGTGGAACTGGTGAAGAACCAACAAAAACGGCACCGTAATTGATGTAAATTACTGTATCGCAGTTGTAAAGTGCCACTTACACAATTGAGGTACCAATCTGCGATTCACCAGTCCTATCTGAGTAACCCTCTGCATTTCTATCACAGCTAATTATTACACACAGAACTCTTAAATGATTCTCGAGGTACGGTGTTAGTTGGCATAACGCTCTGATGGTATCATTTTCAAATCAACCAGCATATAACAACAGCAGAAGGGAGAGCAATCAGGTCTAATAAGCTAGTCAATTGGGAGAGAGAGAGATGGCATGGCATTCAATAGCGCTTCGACATACGGTAGCCCTGTGAGTTCGTTGTTGAATAAATACAAGTTTATGTTGCGTTGTGAAAAAATTTGAGTAGCGATGCAGGATAAGCATTTTTGACTAAGCAAGTTTCTCCATCGAAAAGAGCAACTAACATCAATGATCACATATGGTCAAATCTTATGCGTAAAAACGCGTTACGATTCGAATTTGAGATGGAATAGTCATCTTCATCATCTATTCGAATTTATAGCGATGTTGTGACCCACGGATAACTATACGACCAGCCTCGGACCGTGAGACTAAAGGATACGCGATAGGACAAACCGGAAAGACCCAATGACCGAGGGAGAATCATACGAACACTCCCAGATAGCGAAAACCGGCACGATTCCCGGGAGGTCTGGAAGGAGCCCCACCAGAGCAGTACGATCCCAGAAGCCAACCAGGAGGAACACAGGAAACAGACCTTCAGACGGGGTTGTGTATTGCGCTCGACCCACAGGCGATGGTAGTGGACAACTAGTCCGTTTATTTACATTTTCAGAGAATTTAAACAGTGACAATGGAAATTAGCTCAAAACTTCTAAGTTCTGGGAAAATGAACCTATCAGGTGCATAACCGATAGTGTGAAATGCGGATTTTCCAATGCGAAAAATTGAAGTTTCAAATTTTATAAAAATAAATAGACAAAAGGAAAAAGGAGAAAAATCAATCATTTCTGGAGGGGAAAGAAGCTATTACCCATCAAGCGCTACCACCAATGTAGTCGGTCCGCTAAAGTAGCATTGGGGAACCGTCAAGATTTGCTTTTTGAAGAAAATAGCCCGACCCAAGGACCTTATTTTACATACTGACTTCTCCATATTCTCTTACTACAATACTCTCCCTAGATGCAAACACCTTACGAATTTTCTCAATTTATATTAAGTTATGTTACCTTTTGGGAACCTTCTGCATTCGAATACAGGTTTTATTTGACTCCACAGAAGCTATTCCCTTGTAAGAATCAAAAAGTACCAAACGCTAACTAGCCTAAGGTTGTAAACGGCTTTGTTATTCTGAGAATAAATATGCTACATCGGAGTGAAATTTACGTGAGGAATAGTTCGGATAATAAGAGCTGTTGTGAAATATGGCTGGATTTGAAGCAGCTTTATGATCTGAATCAAATCTCACGGTCTGATATTGGGTTAATCAATCGTTAATTATCCGCATTCTGAACATATTTCACTCTGGCCGTCCTTTGGGCTCCATGAGGAAGTAAACCTTGACTTCCCGGCCAATGTTACCGAAATTCGGAGACAACCAAGAACCAGCGACTCTCTCTGAGCAGGCTGCGACGAGCAGACCGAGACATCTATTGTTGATGTATAAGATGGGCGTGTACACCATCGAATAACCGTTGTGTTGGAGACTTGATTAGATGAGATTCAATCCCCGAAAGGCTCTACAGACCGAGTCCCTTAAACTGTGGTAATGAAACCTTGCAAAACTGCCCTAACTAAATGATGTCATGAGCCCATGCAATTTGTTCCCGAGACATCACTGTTTCACTAAGAAACGTTGTATACGCTTTGAGCCAATAACGTCCTCATTGGGCAAAGGTGATCGCACAATATGTGAGGAGTGTTTGGATCCCATCAATTCATTTGGGTCGCCTGATTTCGGTGTCTACAATGACTGCTTTTCCGACCATACCATTTTTCAGCTTTTATTCGATTCACTTCGTGTGACACTGCAATTCCTGCTCCATTAGTGGCAGTTCGGGAGCATTTAAGACTCCAAATCTCTTTTTCCCATGAATACATAATATTACTACACTCTGCGACTTTCTTGCTTGAAAATAAGCAGACAACAAAAAACTGGTTGTCCCTTCGCGAGTGAAGACCTTCTAGGTGAAAAAGGTAGCTGGCAACTGGTCAAGTCTTGTGTGATTAACACCACCGCATGTGCTCATGGCCTCTTAGGTCTGATAACGCCTTGCTTCATACTCGATATTATCCCACGATAAATCATCAGAGCAAGCCTCAGGCAGATTTTGTTCAAAATTAATGTTCTACAGTGCATAAGTGAGACTTCAACTAACAATCTACTGAGACTCAACCAAGCCTCACTTGCTTCACGATTTTTTCAGTTCTTAAAAAGATATACAGATTTCTTACCTGTTTCTGTATTATCCCGGGCAGTCTTTGTATGGCCGCGGCCCCCTTCCTGAAAGTTGACTGTACATTTGTATATTCAATAAAAACAAAAAAGGAAGTAAAAAGACACAAGCAGACCATAATTCATCCATTACGTTCCTGTCTATCTTCTACATTGCACCAAACTCAGCCTCTATACAGCTTGGAATGCGGCAACCCCGTGTACAGAGTGTACTGAGTGTTTTTCTCTTACTCCACCCGACTCTATAAAATGCTAGGCAGTTCCCTTTATTAACGACCCAACCGAAAAACCAACTGGCCCATCGCTGTGCAGCCACTTCATTATCCACTATTGCTCTGAATTTGGTTCTTCTGAGGTCGAGTCATCTGTGCCCATCCCCCGTGCATTCTCTAACACTTGCAGGACCCAGACCGTTAATCAGTATCTACTTCAAGGTACCATGCCACTGGATTTCAATAATCCTTTGTCATCAGAGTTACCAAGTTTTTTTTCGCACGTTCAACCTCAGGCTCTGTAAGTGTCGAATCAACAAACTGGAGTTACCATGGATGACCCACAGTTTCTACCCAATATGACAGTATTTCGATCACAGGTAGACACCTTTTATTATTAAGTTAAAAAAAATTTGAAAATGAAACCACTTTAAGCAGATTACATCTGCAAATTAGACCCCCACATTCTCGATCCAGCACTGACTCTATCGCGCGTGGCTAGTACATCCCACAACCATACATATGCACATATTGCGTACTGTCGGCTCTGATTCGCACGCACTGCCCCGCGACTGCTCATCGAGGCTATGAGCATAGCTATATGGACCACGAACAAAATTACTTGGTTCACTTGTTCCAAAAATGTTGATTGTTAATAGAACAGAGCAGTGGATAATTACATTTACATGAGTTAGTAGTTATGGGAGTACATGATTCTGCATGGTTGAACACTGGGAACGATCAAGTCATGTAACAAATCACATGGCAAACATGACCGAGGCATTTCATGAATGGACAAGGTTAGCTGACAACTAACAAGGCACATTTGAGGAAGCGGTAGTAATTCGACTCAGATGAGTGGATATCATGAACATCAATGATTGGATGCAAGAAATAACAAGTACGCGCTCATTGTGAATTTCAAAACAGGACTCAAGATGAAACTAATCCCCGGGCAGTAATGTCATGTGAATATTCCCTTCAGTGCGAAATCCTCACTATTGACGGATATATTTCAGTAGTTGACTAATTGATTTCATCTTACCGAATAGGACCATTTTTAAACTGAAATCATTGTTTGTGCAGATGGAGCTATGAGCACAAATAACTAAATCTCGCAGGGTCGCTCATTGCGGATGTCAACCCTTTGGTTTTGACCATCATCCTTTGAAAAGTCGACCGAAACAGAAAATGGTGTAGACAGAATGGATCCAAGGTGACATGACAATTGTGAAAGCAACCAGGTAGGACGATATCACAGCCAGTCCCCTGGTAGCGTTTACAGGCATATTTCCCAAACTCAATGACTGCTTAGATCACATCAACCTAGGGCTACTCGCATCGTATTTCAAACAATTCTAAGTAGTGATGTGAGACAAATGACTGGGGGTTTTGACTGACGAGACAGATTTAACGTCTAGTCACAACACTGAGCTAATTCAACCGAATATACACTAAGAAACCACCAGAAACGGGTTTCTTTCTCATTAGAAATCATTTACGGCGTTAAGTTCAAAAATCACAACAATGCCAGAACTTTTTGTTCAATGAGCATTCACAACTAGCTGCAAACGATGTATCACGTCTTCCGGCCGATTATATTAGAAAACAGTTATCAAAATATAGACTTTCTGATTACACGGAATATGTGCACTTTTATTCCAATCAAAGATAAGTCTCAGGTCTACTTGGACTGCAGAATTGGATCAGCTAACAGGTGGGCCTATTTGTTATTAGATATCGTGCTATTATGAACTAATGATCAGAAATGGGAGCTGACAACCTGATTCCTGAGACTTAAATTGATCAATAGTATAAACCAAAATGAAATAGGCGAAGTAGTGAGCCGGGACAGAGCACATCTGCCCAAAACAGTGAACGTTGGCAGGGTTCTAAAGTCCGTCATCAACATCCTGTGCATGTTAGTGCCGGTCAATACAACCATACCATCAACAACGCCCACTGTGCTGTCTAACCCCACGTGTTGTTGAAGTACAATTCAGTTCGGCTAAAAAGAAAGATGAACCATCGTCTTATGTATCGATTCATCTGTTCCTGGCCAATCGCGATAAACACCAACTCAATCAAGGAGCGCACCACCCCCACCTCCAATGGCAGTTTCGATAATTTCGATTTGGTCAAACCCCATGTTACTTTCACGCGATATTCATGATTACCAGTAAGAGTGATCGATTGGCTATGGAGTACGCGATTAGCAACGACGCCCAAATCACTGAAGACCATACGAAGCTGATTCTAAGGCTCTTCGACTATTGGTTAGAGCTCTGCTCCCAGGTTGCCTCCGCCTCGTTCGGCAGCTGTGATCCATCTGACGTAAATCGGGTGCGGAAACCGCCCCCCCCCTCTCCAAAAACATTTATTCTTGCGTTGAGCAATGATACAATGTCCTTCTTCACGATACCATGTCAACAGTAATGTAAATTATTTGATTTGAGCAGACTGAACTTTTTCTGGTCATTGGATATCACTCTTACCAAAAAAAGGCCTTTAGCACATTGCACTCGATGCGGATTCCACTGGAGCAAGTGGTCGACCTCCGTGGATTATTTTGGTTGGCGCACATGTTACACATGTCACCAAATAGGTTGCCATGGCGCACGTTCCACGTTTTACTTTAATGTTCACCTGTTGTTTTTTAATCTTTTAAAGAAAGACTTAAAGCTGCATCGACGTGGACTGACCGATTTTAGCCGTCTCTTCAATCCCACTGGAGGAGCTGATAACTGATCCCTGTGAACGTCATTTGAATGCAGTTTGCACATAAGATTCTTGTGAATCTCCCCCCCCCCATCCACTGCACACAGATTTTATTTCTTGTCGTTCCTATTCGTCAACTAGATCCCAATATCGTTGTATGACCTCTCGCATTAACATTTATCCCAGCTCTACCGTCTTCATCACGTATTCTGGTTAACAAAGAGTAGGATTTTGCAAACTTTGACTAACTTTTTCCTTTTTCTCTAGTGTACACTTACGGTTGAAATGTAGGGTTTACGCCCGCAGAAGTTATAACTACAATTACAATCAGTTATCTATTTTGGTACCATAAACTGTGAATTCTCAAAATCCTCATGAGCGGTTTTCGAATCGAAACAAAAGGGGTTATTATTTGACGTCGTAGGAGTAACCAGTAAAGCATTGGGCCACAACAGGCACGAGCAAGCGCAGTTGACAACGTGAACTAGATTACCGTGATGTTGCCAAATCTGTGAAGAGTCAGAAAAAAGCCAAACACCTACAAATACGAATGTTTATTGCACGCGTTCAAAGCATGCGGACTGTACAAGATTCGGTGATCATAAACGTGTTCAAAACCAGTTGCACGTAACAAAACGAGCGATCTACATCACTGCTCAAACCATCAGCAATCAACCGCGGTAGATGCGGCAAAGACCGGAAGGGTTTGGAGAGAGCGAGAGCTGGGGACTAAAAGACGGGGCCTCGTTCTAAGCAATGTACACTGTCTCGTCAGCTCGACGTTTTTTGGCCGCTGCGATTCCCGGTTTTGTTTGCGCGTCGGGATGATTGGCTAGATCATGCGGACAAGTGGATACCGGTGACTGTAGCAGTAACTGCTTCAAGTCATAGTAGACTGGCGTGTCCTCCTTCGTTAATAATGTGATTGCTGTACCCGACTTTCCGGCACGACCGGTTCGACCAATACGGTGAACGTAATCTGAAATAAGAGATTGAATTTCAAAGCTCTGGATCGAACAATAGCTGCTAATAACAAAAGCATAATCATTAGTAAACACATTCATAGAGAGTAGGAGAATGTAAACCGCAAATTTTCGACCCAAACTGGGAATTGTCATGGAACAATACACATGCATTGAAAGAAGAAACACATGTTCTGAGTCGCATGGATTTCTGAGATTATGACCTCACAATGTAATCATTTCAAATATGAATCACACACCTAATCACCATCGCACAATGACCACAATTCCTGGATTTCGTTCAACTTTTCCACTTGATGAATGGCAATAAGAACGATAGCACTGATGATAACCGAACGAATACAAACAATCACTTTTAAGTGTGCTTAACTCTGTTCAGCATCAATGAAAGAAGGCGGTGGTCGACCGGTGTTGGACACTATCACTTGCTCCGGAGGTAGTGTTTCAAACTCACTGCAGCCAACTAACTCATCCCCTATCTTTGTGACACACAACACATCTCTGAATAAATTGTTTGTAGGATTATGTTTTCAATACTAAAACAGTAACAGGAAGAAGGAACTTAGCTGAGATCTCACTATACTTTGTTCAATGAAATTTATCCCTAGCATTATAACCCGTTCGAGCCCCATAGAAATACAAGAAAAACGACGATCTGAGATGTGTGAATTAAATTGGTGGTCCTGACTACTTTGTAGAACATCTTTTGTCTATGCATTCGAATTTATCTTTATGCTTTGTTTGAATGCCATAGGAAACTTGGACTCGGGACAACCTCCAAATGCATCAAATTATTAGTACATACAATGATACAATGAGATTATTCATTTCGAGTGTAAGCATATACACATGCGGTGTCCGTCAGAGTTGCCCTATCTCTCCACTCATCCGTTCAACTTCGTTAGATGTTTGATGATAGAAACAGCCCTTGTTGTCGTGCGAGGACAGTCACATCAATTAGTTCCCAAGTGGAAATACCTGTGGAAGTAATAGAACATGTTAAAAAATATTTTATTTCAGAGGCCGTATCACCCAGCGAACGCAGCACGGATGAAGTGTCGGCACGTATACAGTGCTCGATTGGCATTCGCTAACTGGAGACATCTTCGACACCGTCGCGATTTCCGGTTCTGTGAAGGGTCAAGTAAATGATACAACAGTTCGGCCAGGGTTGCCATACAGCGCATCAACCTGAACATTACGTAAAAAGGAAAAAAGATACACTGCCGGTGTTCGAAAACTGCTGTCTACACCGCATTGCGTGAGTCTAGCGGGGAAACCGGACAAACAATACAGGGGTTAGACGCAGAGATTTAGGTAAACGCGATCGCCCACTCAGATAAGTGATCAACCTCCATAGTCCACGTTGGTTGGGGCATGTGTCGCGCATGTTGCTAAATAGGTTGCCGCGGCACGCGATGTTTACGGAGACAGGCATTGGATGGCAAAAGTCAAGTGCAGTCAAACTAAGACCTGGCATGAAAACCCTAAACGGGAGACTTGCCCACATAGGTCGCTTTAGACTTCCTAGGCACTTCGAGGTTATTGTAATCAAAGGTTACACATAATGAGTGATATATCTGAGTGTCGTAAACAGTGGTGTTGATGCATCTACTCATTGTTCTTGAAATTTTAGTTTACGATAATTTTCTATTTTTCACCTTGAAACTACTTTCAACGTTCCAATCTTCCCTTAATTACCTTATGCAAATCGGTGGCCCAAAGACGACAACCAAAACCGTAGCACAAATGTGTTTCATTAATGGTTACCCAAATTGAAACAGAACTAATTATATGCAGGCGAGAACGAACAAACCGATTAGAACTCACCATCGATAGTCTTGGACATATCATAGTTAATCACCAGTGAAACGTCCTTGATGTCAATACCACGACCGGCGACATCCGTAGCAACCAAAATCTCTTTCTGTCCAGATTTCAGGCTAGCCAACGCGTACTCACGTTGTTCTTGGTTTTTGCCACCGTGCAACACGACCGCACTGTGACCCAGCTTTTCCAAACCTTTAGCCAACATATCTGCACCCTTCTTTTGGTTGACGAAAATGATAACTGGTGGATCGATACCGTTGTTGAGAATCTGCAAAAGTTTCTTTCTGAAAAAATGTAGTAATAAAGTGAAAAACGATGAAGATTGTGAAACACAGAAACTGCTAACACTCACTGAGAAAGCATAGGTAACATGTGAACAAGCGGATACCGCCTCACTTGTTGTCCTTTGATTCCAGCTACATCCTGATCACATAAAAACAAGAACTATGGTGTGTTAAAAAGAGTGATCACTGAATATGTTATGCGTTACTCCTACGCTTCTCAAACAGCTGAAGGAAGCACTGAACATGTCGAGGGATGAATCAGCATCATGCTAGCATAAGCTGACACCGGAACCAGTGAAGTTTCTACTGTTAATGATCAACTTCGGAGAACCTTTAAGCAGAGAAACAAAATGATTCCATCAGTAGGTGATAGTCACCCTGAAGCTTCATTATTGTCCCAGGAAAGATACAGCTTGGAAAGTGGAACGAAATCAAACACTATCAAAAGATATTCACATTCCACTTATGACAATAACACAGTATTCTCTAAAGGTGAAAGGTAGTCAAACCAATGAAGCACAAGCGTACACCAGAAAACCACCATGAATGGTGCAAAGGCGCACCGAAGTCCCGAAAAGAAAAATAAATTCATAGACATCCTAAAGAATTAACGGAGAATGGTAGAAGAACGTAGTTTAGATGAAGAAGCAATAAGCGCAAAACTTATGTGATCAATTCGGACAGTTAGGAATATGCTGATGGCCAAAAAGTGAACGAGTAAAGATAACTCGCGATTCGGATAAGACTGGAATGAGAAGAGTTACACATTAATTTTTAATCAACCTACCGTTTCTCCTGCTCAGACACCATGTACACAATCTGTTCGACACGTTCGGTTGGCTTGCCGGCACTACCGATGTAGACCATCGCTGGACGCCGAAGATAGGATCGAGCCAGGCGCTCCACGGAAGGAGGCATGGTGGCCGTGAACATGACTGTCTGTCGGTATTTGTGTTTCGTAGCGAAATTGGACAACAGTTTGCTGTCATCTTCAGCATCATCTGTGTCCGGTTTTTGATTGGTGACGGGAAGGTAGCTCAAAATATTGTTTACTTCGGGTTCGAAACCCATATCAATCATCTTGTCGGCCTGTACAAAGAAAATAACATTAAGTGAGTAACCTGTCAGGATATAAGTAATTCCAAATGACGGCAGCGGAGATGATTTGTTTTGAGTAGTAGTGAATTCCGTGGAGGGGGGGCAAAATAAACTTCACAGAATCTGGAAAACTGCAGTTATGGGCGAAAATATGTACTGGCTCAATGGGCTAAAATCAATGAATGACGAACTATCTTATGAACACATTACTTTCATTTCCGTACACAGCGGTGACTAGTGATGGTAATCACAAAGCGAAAACAGTGACTATAAAGACCCTTATGATTTTAAAAGTGAATAGATGAAGCTAATCCCGAGAAATAAAAACAAACCATGATAAAATACAGCACGGTGCACAGACTTTCAACTGATTTTACCCGAAAACTTTTTTGATTCTAATCACAGTAGAAACAAGCTTGTTATTGATAGACCATCGAGAATAAATGAGGTAAATTCAGGGCCTGATTAATTTTAACATATCCTAACCATAAAATGATGCTACGAGATTGGATTAATCCAAACCCCAACCTCACTACGACTGGGGAAGTAGAGGAAGCAGACAAATTTTGTTATTTAAGCAATTATATCTTACCTGGCGGATGCGTCACAGGTAGA